TCTGCTCCTCAAGTTTAAAAAAATTAATCAAATTCAAAAATGTTGTTTATTAATTAAGATTCTTTAAAGAGTTATTTGCAGATGATGACGGCTGTTGGCAGGAAAGGTCTCCCGTAGCAGTCTGTACTGCACTAAATCTGACGAAGCCTCTGACTGAAGATGCTCTGTTTTCCCAAGACAGTCAAGATTTTATTGATCCTGTGAGGGATCCTTATTTGATTGATCATCTCCAGAGGTTCCACAGTCGTCCCAAGAGCAGAACCAGAACAGAACCAGTCCTCCGTATCAGGCTGTTGGGCCTTTTTAAGTCCCTGGTTCTGATGCAGAAAAGATAACGCTCTCAATTGGTTATAGGCCAAAAACAACATTAATATCGAATTTCGGCTCAAATTTTGGTATCGGCACATTCCTAAACACAAATTATGAATGCGCCTGAAATTGTGTCAGGATTTACAGTTTACCAAACTTTTAGACATTCATCCATTCACATAAGAAAAAAAAAATCATTTGTAAGACCATTTGTACGAGCAGGTGACTCAACAGGCCAAAAATTAGCAAGGCACGTGCTGAAAAGTGACGTAATGGATGAAGACGAGAGGCGGGATTGGACTACCTCCTCCTGAGGCTGGAGGTGACTCGTGCATAATCTGGAAAACCGATAATCCCAATACCAAGAAAGATTACGCACCTGCTTTCCAGAAGGGTGAGTAACGACAAAGAGCCAGCAGATCATTAGGCGGGTTGACCTGGCAGGTGAAAAGTCACCTGCTGATGATGAGGCCAGCCGGTTTTATGAAGGTGAAGTTATTGTTTTAAGCCTCAGTTTCACCCGGGAGGGGAAATAACCAAACTCGGAGGTTCAACACAACACGTTTGCTCTAATACACCAGAGACAAGCGCTATAATTGCTTTGCCAGGTTTGAGCCGTCAGGAATTCCCATCTGCCTTGAGACAAACTAATCGCACCAACAGCAGAGTCTAATAAAGCATCAACATCACAAATGACAGATGATCCGGCTGTATGTGGATTTACTGGGAAATCTCAAACTAGAACTGAGAAGGTAATACATTTCACTAATTAGGCTTATTTATAGGTTAATTACACCGTTTTGTTAATTGTTGGTTACAGGAAAACTTGGACTTTCTTAAAATTAGAATATTGCACTCGGATACAGAAATGCCAGCCTAGTGAAAGTTTGTTGAGATACTATATAGTATATCTACTCCATAGTACTTCTGCATGAATTACTGCGTCAGTGCAGCATGGCATGGAGGCAATTAACCTGTGTTAGTTTTGTGTTGTTAAAGGGGAAGTATTACATATAGCTCTGGAAAAAATTAAGAGGCTACTTAAAATTATCAGTTTCTCAGATTTTACTGAGAAAAAAGTAAAATCTAAGAACATACAGGTATATTCTTGAGTAAAGTGAACGTTGTTCTTTTAGTCCATGAACTGCTGACAACATGTCTCTCAAATTCCAAGCAAAAATTTTGTATTTTTTTGCAGAAAATGAGAAATGGTCAAAATAAAAAAGTTTGAGTGCTCAAACAAGTTAATGTTCATTTAGAAACAACAATACTAATGTTTCAACTCAGAAAGAGTTGAGGAATCAATATTTGGTGGAATAACCAGCAGGAGGTTTTCTGTGCCACAGCTGTACTTTTCAGGCACATTGCGCCAATTTTTATTATAGCACAATCAAGTAGCTATGTTACCTTTTGTTATAAAAATGCTGTGTAAATCAAACATGACTTATAAGAAACTCGACTCCTTGAAATTGGGCCTCTGTCTCCTTAAGAAACCCCTTCGTTTTCCGACACAATGCCTTCAGGAAGTTATGACCACATCACTCCTCTTAACCCTTTAGCAATGTTTAATTTTAGCAGCGTTTTACTGAGAAGTAGCTCATATAATGAGCTTGGCTGATGCGCAGTTGGTGCTAATTGGTGCTGGCTAGTCTGAAGGAGCGGAGTGTGGACGTGATACTCTGAAAGAAGGCGTGTGGTGTGATCAGATGCTTTGCACTTTGCCATGAGACTCAAGGATTTCTCAAAACAGGTACGAAAGAATCAGGGCAACATCCCAGGTGTGTTTTTATAACATGAAGTAAAGCTTAAAACAATAATTTTTAATAAGTCTGACCTCTAAGGAAGTCCAGCTGCCTTAGTTTACCTCCATTGGCTTTGGTGTCCAATCTTCTCTCGAAAATGCTCTATAGGTTTTCAACTGGAATTTGATCTGGCGTGTTTTAGCCAAACATAGAGACACCATGACCATTTAATCCGTTATCGGTGCTTTTGGGATTGTGGGCTCACCATAGAAGCTCAGAAGCAACAGAAAGCAGTTAGTGCTCTACAACATCCTCAAAGATGACTGACTTGTACTAAATTTATACACGTCACACTGGACCTCCTCACACCAATCCGATCCTGTGCCGCTCCACTGTCGCTTCAAATTCTGATCTTGAATTCCAACTAAAATACAAATTTAACCATCTGTAAAGGAAAAGTTCAGATAGGCAACATTTTCTCCTCAACACAAACATCCAACACTTTCTCTGACCCAACTCCAGAAATGAGGACTGTGACAGTTGCAGCCAATTTCCTGGATGTGTGTGTGTGTGTGTGTGTGTGTGTGTGTGTGTGTGTGTGTGTGTGTGTGTGTGTGGCGGCTCTTGAACCTGCAGCTCCAGTCTCCACATTGTGAAAGGCTGCGATCAGAACTGTTGCTTGAGCACTTTCTGTCCCCAATCATGCTTAATTTCTCCACTAAATTTTCCAACAATATGCTGGCTGAGAAATATCATTTTAAAGAGCCAGCTTCATTAGCGATGGAGCTGTGCAGCTTACCCTTCCTCTGGAGAGTGTCAGTGACCGTGAAAGGAAAAACTGTCAAGTCTGCAGTCTTCTGCAACACTGTGTAGGCCACAACATTTCCCTATTAAATATTCTAAGTTACACAGGAAGTGAATGAATGTGCAGTGAATCTAAATTTCATATTTTGACCTGAACTTACTGAAATAAGTGAACTTTCCAGTTTTTGAGATCTAACTTGGTGGAATACAGCAGTACTTATTAGACACATTGACATCCTGGTGTGCCAGTGTAAGCACAGCTAACAGAAAAGGTTTCTTTCAAATTTCATCATATTCCCCTGTTTCGTTAGCTAGGGAATATGACACTGGAAGAGAAACAGCAATATGCAATTAGATGCAGAGGAGGAGGTGCAGAGACAGAGCCCGACTGTCAGGAAGTGACACGAGGAAAAATGGTGCGAGAATCTGAATGCGAGAAACTCCCAGCAAGGCCCCCGGAAGAACTGCGGTGCGCCATTAACATCATCATCATCATCATTACTTTCATCATCGTTACTTCCAGCCTCGTGTTTTTCTTTTTTTTTTTTATTCCTCCTGAAAATAGAAATCCCTTGCGAGCCTCTTGTCTCCATCGGCCTCATTTGAATAGCAAAAAGGCGGCACTGACCTGTCTCACCTTCCAAAACAGATGCATCATATTTTCACAGAAAGCAATAAAAGCAGAAGCAGGGCCCAATTCCCCACAGTGTTCAAGACAGAGGGTAGCATTTCAGCTAAACTCATCAATATGCAAAACATCAGAGCATATCTTGCCACGAGAATTTCCTCCACTGCACCCTCTAAAGATGTGCATAAACATCACATTTTTTCCTCCTTCCTCTTAAACAAGCCTCCTTTGGCATAGAGGAAGTATGCAAATGCTGCACAAACATAATCACATTTTGATGAAAAGCAATGGGATCCTAAGCAGCAAATTGCCCTGTGTGATTTTAATACTCTGCAGGCAATTGTCAAACCAAGAGAGGCAGAGAGAAAAACTCCGGGGCTGGAATCGATGCGCTACCTTTTATTTGCAAAGAGGTGAACAAAGTCCCAACACTGGATTACATTTCAAAGCACAGAGCCTAGAGCTTTCCAGTGTGGGAGCACAGAAAGGTGGTGTAGCGTGGGAGAGAGGCATAATCATTATGACCTAACGGCAGGGTGGATGTGGGTTAAGGTATCCTCTCTCTCCCACTTTCTCTGCCTGCAGTGCTCACTCTTCCTTCCTCTTTTTCCAACTTAGTTCCCTGGGCTGTCGTTCCTGGGTTGTTAAATCCCTGCTCCTTTAATCTCCTTACTCAGCTACATCCTCTTTAAGGATGCACAACCGTCGAGGAGAGACGTGGGATATGTCATCTGGGGACTGTTGCTTAGCAAGGCAGGGCAGGACATGCAGGCTTTGAGTTGGGCTAACATTGAGAAAACCTACCATATGTGGAGAAAAGTTGAAACACAAGCAACCGTCGGTTTCAGGGTCATTAATGTTTAATTTAGGTATTTAAAAATGCAGTTAAAACACTAATGATGTAAATATTTAGTGCATCCAGTTCTCTAGACAAGTGAAAGTAGCACCAGTGATTCATGTCTTCGCTGTAAAACCAACAAGCATGTGCAGAGAAAGTCAGCAGTGCAATCAAAAGCCATCCAGGTTCTCCACCACACAGCATTGTGGGATGAAGTAGCCATCAGTCATCTCCAAGCCGTAGCTCACAGCACCAACATTCTAATAATGGTGCATCACCTGAAACTCTGGGAGATGAGTGTAATCCACTCAAAAATGGATCACAGCTTGCCCTGCGTGCCACATGCTATTCTGCACGAGGAGACGGCTCTAATGTAGATTTCTGGGTCATCTTTCATCTGCGTGCGTTCCTTGAAGTTCAGCTGCATGGAGTCTGATAACTCCCATAGCAGATTTATGTGGCATCCAGAAGCTTTGTCTATCATTGTGGCTACGTTGAGCAGGAAAACAATTCCTAAAACCCTTGTTTTTGTTTCCTGACACATATTTTCTGCAAATAATGAGCAGGGAGTGTGGGATTTCACATATCTGCACACAACAATTCATCACACCCTCTCATGAACAGCCGATATGTAAATACAGAGCTTAAATTCAACGTGTAATTAGTGGTTTAGCGGTACCTGTTTCCCAGAAGTAGACAGACTTCCCATCGTCTGTCTGCGAGTGAGCCTTCCAGAAACCACAGAGCAGCAATGTCACCAAAAGGTACCAGCTCCCCCCTGTCCTTTTCCCGGGGGTCCCTCCTGCGCCCCGCCACCCCATGGTCCACCACAGGAGAAAAGTAAATCCACTCAGCCCGAAAGGTCAGCAAGCAGCAATAATACAGAACAACCCAAACACGCGAGTCCAGGAGGCGACAGAGAAGTGCAGCGGGCTTCGGTTTGAAGGAGAGGGTGTGATGAGGAGTGTGGGCGTGTACAACGGGAGAAATTATTGCAAAGGGTGTGAACGGCGGTCCTGCAGAAGTTGAGCTCCAGAACTTGTGATCTCGTGAAGGACAGAGGTGGTAGTTTCCTTCGTTAACTTGGCGGGACGTTCCCAGAGAGAAGGGGTCAGTTGTGGGGAGCGAGCCGCAGACGGATGGTGCAGCCGTCCTCCTCCATCGTACCCCGCTGACGCTGGTGCTGCCTCTGTCCTCTGGCTGCGGAGCAGTGACAGCGGATGAGTGTCTGCAGTGTTGTTCGCCTCCCTCCCTTCCCGCTTACTCTCTCTCTTCCTCTCCCAATCGCTCACTTATTCCCCGTGCCACCCTGCATTTCCGATTCCAGATTTCTTTCCCTGTCTTTATTCTCCTCCCATCATCTCGTTTCATCTCTTTTCATTTCCACATTGTTTTTCTACTCTGCATTTCAAACATGCTCACTTCTCACTTTTTTTTCCCCTCTTGCTCTCTCTCCACTGCATGCAGGATGGATACTCCCACTCTTCTGCTAACACTCGTCTTCCCACGTGCGGAGTGTGGAGTGGGTGACTGGAGACCAGCAGGGCTTGCGCTGGTCGGAGGAGCTCCTGCAGAGCAATGCTCCAGGGATCAGAGAGGCAACGAGACAAGATGGGCTTAATGCAGAGCGGGGGAATGTGCATGTGGGTGGGGGTGTGTGGAAACGGGGTAAAGCAAGGAGGAGCGAGACAGGAAAGCAGCGAGGGAGAGTAAGATGGAGTGGGGGTTATTGTGCTTGTGAGAGAAGAGGGTGTGAAAAGAGAAATGATGGGGGAAAGAAATGTAATAAGGACTCAATCATGTGTTAATATATTCTATTGAACAACTATAGAGAAGTTCAAATGATCTGGAAACGTGCGAATATGAAATTCAGTGGCTGCATTTTCATTGAATTTTAAAAAAAATGGAATTATGGCAATAAATTTGCAAATCAATTAAGATGAAGTGGAAAATGCAATAGAAACACTTTGTTTGGATCACACAAGTTATGTGATCAACAACCAGATGTTACCACAGGCAGAAACAATGAAAATGACGACAGGAAGTGATTTTTTTATGGACTTATTGCGTCCACAACTTATTCACTTGCCAATTTTAACACCATTCCTTATTTAATGTCGGAATTGTGTACTTGTTTTTTCAACATAAGTGGAATATTGAATTTTTGTACGCATTTGAAATAGAAATAAAGCTATTGATTTGACCAGTCGTGTCCCACGTTAAAATTGTAATCTTTGATCTGCAGATATTCACCAAAGATCAAGGTAATTACTTTCCATCTTTATCTTGTTCTTAATTGGCCCTCTTTTTTCTATTTTTAAGTACGTGTGTCTAAGTGTTGAGATAAAAAGGAGAATCAGCAAATATATGCATCTAGATTTGGAGAAACATTGCCAAAGGGCAAACTGGTGCATTCACACCAACCCTGTTTAAACTTGTGTAGAAAGCCTGGTTCATTTGGGAGGAGTGAAAGCTCAAACATGTATGTGGATCAAATGCATATGTGAACGCCAAGCTTACTGGAGACCGCTCCAGAAGCAGGAGGCAGACTACAGTGCAGGGTATTTTGGGTAAATAGAACCAAAAAAATACGAGAGTCTAATGCAAGCAGGAGAAATGTCTCGTTGTCTTTTACCAAAAACAAAACATAAATTCTACAACCTCTAAAATCTGATGCTACTCTATTTTTATTTACATTCTGTGATGAAGGAAGTTGCTCTGGGTTTTCTTCTGAGGTTTCTGTGTTGTTTCCTTTAGTGGCTCTTGGGACAGCGCCCCCACAGGTGAGAAGGGGAACAGGTTTTTCAGATAGTTTCAATCATTCAACAGTGCAAAGTGGAAACGAACATCAACTGAAAATGTAACAAAGGCTGTAATTTTGATCTCCAATCAAACCAAGTCTACCACACTACCAGGTGTGAAAACACACTGTGACATTTTTTGATGCCAGTTTGGGTATTTTAGAAACTCTTTCATTCACAGTAAAATCTCAGGTTTTATGGATTGCTTCAATGATTCAGGTTCGTGGTGATTGATGTGAAGGACATCATGTTGACACATTTTGAGAACCTGAGCACTGTTTAAATGCACAGATTATTTTATTATGAACAAAAAACAGAGACCAGAGTCAGAAAGTTTGACTTTCTCCAAAATGCAGTGCTTTCATCATCTGATGGCTGCTTGTCAGAGATCAAATCACCTCTAACTGGCTTCTTGAACACAGAGATCCCTGTAGTCCAATAGCCTCTAGAGTCTCAATGGGGATTACTTTTTTTCATGTGCAAGTCTGGATTTTTGTTTTCTGAATCCCAGATGAATGTATGCAGAGGAAAGTCAAGGACTTTCTGAAAATGAAAAAGTGTCAAACCCAGTAATAGCGAGAACAATCTTTTTTACAGCTCAGGTATCTTGAAACTTTGATTCCTTCATTACAAATCTCAACTTTGCTCCACAGTTCTTCAGTTACTTTTTCTACACAATCTTAAACTGTCACAAGAAATTTCTCAATGAACTGTTGATCTCCATCTCTAATGGTCCGTTGTGAATCCACAGAGAGGTGGGGGTGCAGGAAGAGATAAAACAAAAACAAAGAAGTTGAGACATGAGGATGGTGGAAGAAATAAACAAAACTCTATTTATGTCTTTTCTATCCAACACCTGAAAACATAAAGCCAGAAAAAAAAAAAAGTAAAACTTTCCCTCCCTTTTGAGGGAAAAAGCAGAATATTACTCAAAGGTGGAAATTGACTTGAGTGAAATACTAAAACAAAGAGTCATCAGCAACATTTTTTTTTACATTTCTTTGCATAAATCAGCATTTCTTTGAAGATAACATGGCAATAGCAGTTTAATTTCAACTTGCATGTTTGTTTTTGGAAATGTAGAAATGAAAATGAAACAACTCACAGTTTAGAAGTGAGCAAAAGTCAAATTTACTCCATAGTCTATATTATTATGAGGTAATTATCGGGGCAGCTTTATTATTAACAGAGTTAACCTATGTTGAAACTGAAAATTGGAGCCAATCTGCATCAACTCTGGTCTGGATGAAAATAATCTGATAACACGACAGACAGCAGCATCCAGAACATCGTTCCAATGGGAGGAGTGATAAGTTCTGTTTTCTCTAAATATTTTTTATCCAAATATTGAACCAGTTTTTCATATACACCACTCTTCTTCAACGTAATGTTACATTGTAGTTTTTTTGACCAGTCTGTGGATTTTAACCACTTAATTATTCCTCTTGTCTTCATGTGCAAATTCATTAGTTAGCAGTTCATTAGTAACTAAACAGTTTAATTTTCCACACCTGCTCTATCGTTTTCTGGGTATCACTGGGTTTGAATCAACCCACAATGAGGAGTACATCCTGCTCAGCTCATCTGTCCATCACAGCTTTACATCACCTAAACCTATTAAGAGAAGGTTTGTCGAGGTCATGGGTCATATGAGACCAAGATTAATTGTAACACCAGCTTCTGTTTAAACTGACTTTCCTCACCTCCAACTGGTTATTTGGATATAATGCAGGTTTTTGAATGATAGTTCTTACACATGGCTAGTCATAACATTGGTCCTAAAACATTTTATACAGCTATTGAACAAAAATAGACAAACTAAAGTAGTGAAGTTACCATGTCATAATATAAAATATGATCCTAGCTTTGGATTTTAAGTGCTTGGGCTGTTTTTTGAAGGAGTAGAAACCCAAATGGAAGTATAAAATGTAAATTTTGCATTATACGTTTCTTTTAATCCTTTTTGAACACGTAAACTATTCGTCCTGAAAATTGCATTTTGGATTGGCTGTGTTTTTGTCATCCTTCCTGTAGCAATTCTTTGTACTTTTACAACTTGTAAAAGGTAATTTAATTACACATTGTGTTGTATTATACACTTTGTTGAGAATTTAACAGTCAGTGTTGGCCTACCTGTCAGTGTAATACATGGACTAACGATAGAAATTACAACAATCCACAGGATGTGTGGAGGCGGTGAGGAGGTAGAGTTATTTGTCTAAGTCAATGTTCTTCTGTCTCAGTCTCCGGCAATGAGATGAGGCTGTGTGAGGACGCTGAGCTCCTTCGCTCTAACTTTGGCACACTGAGCTCATCATAGCTTCTTTTAACCAAGTGGCAGCTGTAGCTCTAGTGATTGAGAAATCTAGTTAGTGGCAGTTACATTAAAGACTTGGCTGTTAAACAACCGCATTGGAATGGATCGATAAAACTGAAAAACACAGCTGCAAGCACTCATTGATTTAAGTCTGTATAAACAGCATTTTTCTGATGAATTTCCAAACGGGCAGGCTTTATCTACCTAAACATCTATGTATATTTTCAAAAAAATGTCAGGAATTAGATCTAAATTTCCAACCAAAGCACCTAACACTAGCCGTCTTTTCATGGACCAGATTACTGCGCCATTTGACATTTTAAAAATTAATCTGTTCAACAGAAACAGGCCAATTTTTGAGAAAAATTCTTGTTTTTTTGCACTATGATGAAGTGTTTTTTTTTTTCATATCAAAACTGCTTTATATTGCAAAACTGCAAAGGAAACATGCATTACTCAAGTCACATGAGCAACAACCAGACATTGCTACTGTTGCAAACCACAAAAAAGAAAACAGGAAGTAGTTGGAGGACTATGACATGACATGTTTTCTGATGACTTATGTGAACAAATTTATTCATGTCTGATTTTATTTGCTTTTTTTGCTTAATGGAGACAAACAATTGCAAAACTGTTTTTTCTACATCAGCGGAATATTGACAAAGTTTTGCGGCATTATTGGTTTTAGCTGTTGTCAATGAACACGTGGTGTATAAAACAAAATGTTAGCTACTAATTGTCAACATTATGACAACTAGACAACAAAATCCAAGAGGGATTATATTTCAGGAAAAGTACTGGAATTGAGGAGCACTGGATAGTGAGAGAGAGCCTGAAAACAGTTGAATACTTGCGGATTCAGTTATTTGTCATTTCCCCTTTCCTGTGGCACATCCTACTAAATTAAAAATACCTACATCTCCATGTTTCATTTTGTTAACATGATTGTCCTACAGGCAAGGTGAAAAAAAAAAAAAAAGTCTTTTTGCCCCCCAGAGTTGTGTGAAAGCACAAAATGTCCGTTTGCGAACAATAACCTACGTCTGAAAAGAATTCACTCTTGAAACACTTTTTTTTCTGCTCTTATCTTATGAGCTCAAATATAACTTTGGGAAGGTTCCAGAGTATGCACAACTTTTTTTTTAATAGACGTTACGTGAGCACAACCAAATCTTCTCCTCTCAGCTAAAGAATCAAAATCCTGATGAATTCTCCACTGCCACAAAGGCTGCAGCAGAAAGGTCACTCATGTGTTTGTCACTCAGAAAACCTTGACAGCTTAACAATAGTGCAGGAAGTGCCAGCCGATGTACTGTTTGGATGTCTCCTTTTTTTGCTAT